ACAGATGACGGTGATGGAGGTCTATTCCTGTCAACCTAATAATGCCAATCTATCCTCCGCTGCTCTAAAAAGAATCCTCTTTGAAACGGAGCTGGGTAGCGATAACCTTTTACTTTTTCATTGTATCGGTTGTTAATTTCCGTCAGGATTCGTAAATACAAAACAATATGTCATTTCTTTAAAATTTACGGTTTTTTACTTGAAGGAGTAGCGTATGTTGGATACTTTTGCCTTGCATGCGGTATTTACCCCATCGGCAAATGGAGCAACATACATAAACATACCGTGACAGGCGGTAGTGATATTCGTTGTACCCAAACCGCCATTGAACACATCTGCAATACGGACAACGTTGCAATGAATAGAATTAAAAGGCTCTATCATTTCACCAGCGCGAATGATCAGTCGAGAGATGATGCTTTGAAACAAATTGCCAGAGGCATTAAGATAAAAATAAGACGTACGATTGTAGCCTCGGATGTGAAAAATGCAATACTAGGTTCAAAGACGCGTTTATAAAACATTTGTGTGATACCGTCGATGAGAATCAAAAAGAAATATTATTTCATTTAATGAAGATGATTGATAAGGACTTTCCAGGCCTATTGATCAAGAAAACATCAAGCGATCGATCACTGGATGGATACCCCTATTTGGTCTAAGGGTTTCGACTGAAACCGCCAAATAATCACGATCTTTTGTCACCACATCTCATTCTTTTAGCTGTTTTGTATCGTAAGTGCCTCTAATATATCTTACTGATGTGTCCGCCTGAAATTTTCTCCGCCTTTTTCATCTTTCCCCAATCGTATTTCGTAGAAACTGCCCATTGTCCGGTTACACCAGGTTGTTCTGACTCATTTGCAGAATTTATTCTTCGACCGAAAGTTATGCAATAGGTGTAATGTATTCCTTGTTCAAGCAATTAAACTCATAACTCAGTTTTACTACAGAATGTAACTCTGATATATCATCTTTCTATTCACATCGCTGATCTGCATTTTTGATTCCGGCGTACAAAGACCAAGCAGATGATATGTCAGTGTTTCAGTCTGTCCCCAAGTCTTGGGATTTCATGCTCTCTAACAACTGTGGTATCAAATTCATATTTTCCACCTCTGTTGAAAATCTGTTTCGCACCCTTTTCCTCAAGCTTGCCACATTCATTGATGCTGAGCTTTTATCTGGAGGCCAGTAATATCATGTACCGAGTGATTACACTCGTGAAACATACTGATTTAGCAAATGCATCCTGCCGTTTAAGAGTGATTCTCGGGACTCACACCATAAAGGTTTCGGTCCCGTGTATTTTGGTCTATTGCTTTTACACCGTTTGCATGCGTGCTCGGGCAGAAAAGTGTGATTCTATTGAAACAGACTGTTTAGGGATTCTCCCACTCCATATCTGAATCAGTGCATAAAAAAGAATAGATGAGGGAAAACAGACTAGGTGAAAATTTTGTTCCAGTGTTGCGCCATGCATAGTTTGTGTGTGAGAGCGTTCACGTTTACTTTGGGCCGAAAGGCAACCATTCTGTCCCGCGATATTGAAATTTCATTCCCTGCGTGATACTCGGGCACTTCTAACCACGGAGTAAATAGTAAATGTGGGCTGGAAAAAGAAATTGAGCAATAAAATGGAAAACATGCACAAAGCAGAACAGCCCTACACACGGCTTGGTGATTGTTGAGGCTGGAGATTTGAAATATATAATATATTTCGGGAAAATAAGTCTTGTTATTCGTATGCTACTTATTATAAAACTACTAAAAATCGGCCCTGTTGTTGTGTTACTTCATGTTAGACGCATCCGACTCACCAAATCTAATGCAGAAAAAACCACGATTCTTTGAATTTGGTTTATTTTGAATCGACTCCGTTGCGTTGCCTAATGTTTGTTTCCATTAGTACATCCTGTCACTTCTCGTTCCAAAGGTGCACTTATTTTTGCCATCTACCGTTTGACACCGACCGACTAACCAGTATATCCGTCCTTTTTTTCATGTGCCTGTCACTCTGTCAAAACGCAGGTAGGCTGAATCCTCTTTTCTACTGCGTTCGGTACGAATTTGTTTCCAATCAGCCACAAGTGCGGGCAAAATGAATTTGATTGGTTTCATGTCCAGATTGTGAAAAGTTCAATAATCTCGGTGGGATTCGAACCCAAGCATGGACGCCGCCTACTCTTTTGTACAGCGAAAGCTCTATCAGCTGAGCTACGAAACCACACCAATACCACTGCTCTTTTCATTTCAAATCGCCTGGAATGCTCATTGACGTTATGTGATGGATTCAATAAACCAGTTGCTTAGTTTTGTTCAATAAAATGGCTTTTAACGGCCAAGATTTTCACAGAAATGAAAGTAAATAAGTAGAAAACAGATATTGTATAACATAGGAGTCTGTTTTTCAGGTCTCCGCGGAATTAAGTGACTTCGACTGCTGTTGACGGAGCCCAACGGGACTGAATGAAACACATGTATAAGGGAAAAGTCGATGTGTGAGACGGGTCACAATGTGAGCAAGAGGAAGAATGGTCCACACATCGTCACATGTCACACAGAAATTCGCACCAATCTCCGTACAGATTAGTAAAATTCTATTGTTTGCTGGCAAACTGTCGAACATAAGCGCTCAAACACACAAACTCAATACGACCTTGCTCCATTTGGCATACGATTGCCAAATGGAAGTATATAGACAATTATCTAAGGAAATTTAATGGCATTTCCAGCTTCTTTCCGACATGCATCCATGAGAATATTTTATGGAGCTTTAGTAATTTTACAGCTGTATGCTTCTTCTTTCTTCTATTGGAATATTTTTTGTGCGAGTTAGTCATGTCTCTTTGGCTTTTTTGCCTTAACCAGCTTATGTTCCCGGCCCATGGAGAAGGCTGGTGGGGTCTATAGCTCCAAAACATGTTTGTTTACTTGCGCATCTATTCAGTCGAGTTGAGATTTGGGTAATCCAATGTCTGTTATCTGCGTACCTTCGACCACACAGTAATTCGCCAAAGTTAATAACACAAAGAGGTCCAGTAAGATTTTAGCTTCCTTTCTGAGTGCATCCATTACTGCGTTCTATCACTGCACATTTTTTGTTCCTCAACAAATGATTTTTTCAAGCTCGCACATGACATACACACCTATACACAAGAGAAAGCAGAAGACAATGAATAAAGTTACGCAATGTGAAAGGCGCTTCTCTTTTCCCCGAGCACCACCTTTAACTGTGCAACTGTCCTGTAAAGTAAGAAAAGCGTCAGCTAATATGCATGACCAATAATAAACTCTAGCTTTGAGTATGCGTGGAATGATTATGGTGCACATAGACTGCTATCAAAATGAAATTTCCATCTGAGGGCGATTGGATTCAGCAACGAGAGTCATGGAAAAACAAAACTCAAACTGTGTTGTCTCAGAGTGTACTGAGATTGTGCGATAAGGAAAGAGTATCGCACTTGAAGTAGGATAAGAACACTTCACAGACGCTCCCTGAGATATCCAATTAAAAAGCATGTGTTCGAGATCCAAGTAGTTTCACTGGTGAGTGAGCGATGGATTGATGATGCGTGTGGAATCATCATATGAAACTTACGCCGAACCACTTGAAAAAGCGAAATCTATAATCCAATCTGGTGAACAAGCTTTCAATGAAGGACTCGATCATTGCCATTTGAAATCTGCAACATATGTGACTTCTTTCTGTCCCAGCTCCATCGATTGCGTTGGGGGAGGTGCGAGGACCTCGATCGTTTCTTTACCCGAATTCATAGTCCTAAGTTTTCCGCACATCACGCGGCAGTGTGGAAGTAACCACGGACAGGGAAAAAATTAAAGGCCGTATCATCAAATTTTAGTACGGAATCAGTTGCCACATACCATGGTATGAATAAACTGTACTGAGGGGATTCAAAACCGACAGAGAATTTGAGGGATACTAACTAAAGACTAACTTTTTTGAGTAATATATGTAGATGAATCAAAAAATACTGTGATCAAACTTTAGGGCCTACTGACGCTTAGTCCATCTTATCAATCGCCGGTCAAACTGGCATGAAACCCAATGAATCAAAATGTACTGTCGTATTCCTTCACCATGAAAATGGGTCTTGTACCTCTTCTGGAAATCAAAAGTGTCATATGCCTGAAATGAGAAGGATCTTGGCAGCATCGTTTAAGAGTAATCAAGGTGCCCAATATACTTCTTCAGAGAATCGTCCGCAGCTGTAAATCAATCGATTTGCTACGGCGAGTATTTGAATGACCCAACCAGCTCACGTTGTTTCTGTGCTGACACTTGATTCTGCCAAGTAGAGATGGGACGAATCATTACCACGTCGAAAAATTTTAAATGTGAAGCAGTAAACGGAACGGTGAAACACAGGGACACTCCTAATCCCTCCTTGATCGATACAGTCGTGCGAAACCCACTATGGGACATGAAAAATAACTATTTCTAAGTACTTCTTATAGTAAACCTTGGACTTTAACTTTGAGTATGATACAAGTGTGCAATAGTTTCAGGGCTTTTCTTTGCTGCACTGTTGATCGTGGTCAAGTAGTCTAACTATACACAGATTTTAAAGATGTTCGTCAGTCTTGGTCTAAGGGGTAAAAGGAACTGGGGAAAACAGTGTGCCGAGGAAAATCAGAATGAAGTTATCCTTCACTGTGAAAGACAATTCCCTAATTATGCTAATCAGATCGGGCTGTACCAGGCCTTATAGCCAACAGTAGCCTAGTCTCAGTAGACCGCACGTGACAAGTCAGCCCTTCTGACGAGTTGACGATTATCAATAGTTGATCCAGTACTGTATGGATCTATATTTGCATTTTGTTTGTCGAAAAACTTAATCATTTCCTGTTGTTCTTCGAAAGAGGGAGTGAAATTAAGCACTTTATTCGCTTCTGTTTGCATTAGCAATGTTTATGTAAACCCAAATATACTTTTGACTGTGGCTGTCGGATTGTATGTCAAATATAAAGAAATTTAAGGAGCTGTGAGGTCTGGTTAATGTATCATCAAAAGTTTGACTCAGGATTGCTTTGTGAAACATTCGTTTTATGGCCAATGCGGCCACAAGCACCATATTTTCGTGACTTATATCTACAAAACATTTTGAAAAATGGTACGATACTGATCTTTTGGTCGAAAATGAGGCATTAACTTCTGCTAGTAGCTGCACAGTTTTATCTGTTTTATCTAACCGCGGCATCATTTTGTAAATTAATCAAGAGTGTACCACTCTTCGGTATCCTGCTCTAACGTAATTTTCGGGTCTCTATCAAGCCTAGAAACCAGACGAGCGTTAAGGTTACCGTTCACTACCAAGCTGAGACCACAGAGGAGAAAACAGCATAAATTTTGAGTCGCAATTCGTAAAACACAAACTTTCACCACGAGTGGAGTCTACACGTGAGACGGGATCTTCCATAGCAGCTACTAAAAATGATAGGTATTGACAAAGCGTAGTAAACAGAGAGGACCGTTGGCCAAAAATAAAGCTCTGCAATTAGCTGCAAAGCCATAAAAAAGATCGTTCCTTTTAACACTATCACATACTCAGTATTTGTCCATTATGTAATTGCTTGTTTTGCTCAATTGGTAGGGGAATTTAGAGTAATTTTGACCCTCCTTCAGTCCTTCAGTTAAGGACACTCTCGCGGAAACTGAGTCCTCTCAAAAGACCAGAAATTAGCCTCATCTTATGCTTCCGAATCTACCGCAACTCCTTTCATCAATTATCCCTCACCTGCCACCCATCGTGCTCACATATTTTGTCGCCCAAATCGCAACCAAAATTTTTCTCTAGCATTGGTTTTGCCACATATTGGTATTCCACCGATCGTGTTTAAGACTGGCACATCAGAGCTTGATCCTATAAATTGTTTGCTTATTTCCTAATCGATCTCTTATAGTGCCTCATCCAGCAATTTTGGTAATGATGATGTATTTTTATTTCTCCCTAAATTAGTTGTATTCTGTGATTCAAACAATTGCCACTCTATCTCCCTCGCTTAGACCCTCTCGAAAGTCGTGAAACTACTGATCACAAATCAATCTCACTGGCAAATGGACCGCTGCAAACTTCTCAAAAACCACCAGTGTGGCTTTCATTACAATAGATCCACTTGTAACCTGTTAACAGACAAGCCACACATTAGATTTTCCACCACTGATGAATACCATCGTGCTTCTCTGATTTCCCCAGATTGTTTGGCCAAGGTTGGCATGAAAAGCTCCTGGTAAAACGTTCTCTGTCTGAACTTGCCATGCTTGGAAGAATTACTTGTGTATCTATTTCCTTCAGTGAACTTTAAGAACCAGTTCGTATTGAAAGATTCATTTCAAAAGCAATCCCCGGTAAACTTAGGGGTATTGAAGGGGTTCGTCCTATCTTTAACATTTTCTCCTCTACTCATCAACGTCCTTCTATCACACTGTTTTTCGTTTTCATGATGTTGTCCGGGATACCACCATGCACAATGTTCTCTTTCTTGCCACATTTCCCGTGCTTCCTGTAGCACCATCATTCGCGAACTGCTGTTTGTGTGTGTGCTCCACTCAGCCCAAACCCGAATTCCATCACAAATTAGAGCTGTCAAAATCCAGTCGTTTTGAATGCCGCTCTATCTCTTGTAGACCTGTGTCCCACAAAAGTTATCCCAATCTGAATTTCGAATCTGATTCGCTTTGTTCCACATCTTTCAAGGTTCTATTTGGACTCCAGTTTTCTCTTCGTAGAGTTGAACTTGTATGGCGTCCAGTGAGGTTTCATACTGGCTCCGTGTGAGATAGTTTTCCATCCACACACTTAACACAGAACATCTATGCCTCACTCTAAAATACTGGATCTGTGCATGAAATGGGATCTCTTCACGTTCGTTGAAGCTCTTGCACTGAGTTCAACGTAAAGCTATTCGCCTTGTCGTGA